AACATGAATCATAATTTCATAATACGCTTTTTGAAATTAAAGGGGCACAAACAGGCCCTAAGTAAAATATGAGAGATTCACGAGTTGTTTCAATTTCAACTCTTGATGGTCAAATTTTTTCTTACATCACTTGTAAGATTTACACACTTCCAAACTTATTCATTTTAATTTTTTTTCAATATGTGATCTAAAGTTGAATTTTTATACTAAATCCTCACCCTTTCTAGTTTAGATGGATCTCATTAATTACAAGTCATTGCTTCAACTATCAAAACTCAACTAGGCTAATAATCCATCGTCAAGTATCCAATGCTCTCAAATAAGTGTTTGGGACTTAACCAAGAGATGTATTACGTAAATAAATAATTATTTTTCTTATCTTATATGCAGACTTCTCTCCATTAAACTTTTTAAATGACTCTTATAACAAACTTTTAACCGATGACACCTAAATCGGATGACTATAAGGCACAGATTTATAATATTCTTTGCAAGTTTAATCACTCAAGTCATAAAAATTATGAAGAGATGCTTCACAATGAGTTGTACTTTTTTTCTTTTTTCCTTTTTTTTGTCATAATTAGAAAAATGTTCCTTATTAAGCACCTATTTGAGCCTAATTTTTGTTTAAGAGTGTATTTTAAAATAGTAAATTGATGGAAACCACCACTGACTTAAGATTTTCACCTAATTTTCATCTTATTGACCTTAGATAATTCAACAAAAATTTACACACATGAAATCTCCATTTTCATCTAGTGTTTATTATTTCAACCTATCAAATCGTGAATCAATACATCACTTTATAATGCTAAACTTAATACACATGCGCAAAAAATATCAAAATTTACATGAATAAGAATCAATTATCCAAAGCAGGCAGCATATCCATAGTATATAAATCAACATATAATTTCAAATATATTCATCATTGCCAACAAGGTTACCTAACTTTTGAATATATTTTGTGGAACTTTTGTGTTATTATTTATCTTGCTTATTTAAAATACGATAGACAAATAAGTTTTTTACTTTTTCTAATAATGTTTTAGACCATTATCAAGTATAAAATTTCTCATTATAGAAAATAATAAAAAAAAAATGAGAAATTTTGAAAAGATAATTGCAAAAGTGAGCAGAATTTTAGGTCCTTCATTGCAATTCAAACGTCTACACTTTCATATATTGTCCTTCATTGATTTAGATAAAAATCAGATTTAAAATTTTTTTGATAAAGGTCAATGAAATTTGTGATTAAAAAGTTGTAAGTCTCATTCAATGTGTGTTTAAAATTAATTATTAATTTTGACTTAAATCTTAATCAATTTTTTTGGCAGAACCAAACATGTAAATGTTATAGATATATTGTATATAAAAATCTAAAAAAGAGTTATCCACTCTGAATAAGAGTAGAAAACAATCATAGGCACCTTTCGGCTCCAAATTCCAAATATATTATAAATTACACATTTTCAAGTTTTATCGATATCCCAACGTTAATAGATTTTTATTAAAATATACTAAAAATATAATTTTTAGTCAAACCAAACAGAACTAAATATGAATTAATGTTGGGAGGCCAATTTTATTGATTTGACGTGGATTTGAATTGATTTGATCGGAAATTATTTAATTAAAATTTGATATGTATTCAATTGATGTTCAGTTTGTGTCGTTTGTGAATTTTATCGTATAAATTATAAAAGACAATTTAGTCATGTTTAATCGAGTGGATTGTTAGATTTAATTGTATAAATTTGAATACATTTAATTTGGGTGAATAATGGTTACCATGCCCTTGTTTGATAGGGATTGTTTAATAATATACTTTTGAAAAAAAAAATTGTAGAATTTGTAGTTAAAAAGTAGAGAAAAATTAGGGATTCATGTTCAAATTATTTTATTGGAATAATGTGTGGTTGAAAATAAATTTAAAATAATAATAATAATAATAATTCAAGAAAATGAGGGCCAAGCATAGGTCAACAACTTCAATTCGTCCTTATATATAGCGAATAGTATTGAAACACCGTTGAAGCACTTCGATTTTCTTAGACTTGGCTGTGACTCAATATTTTTGTAAGGTGGCTATATGAGTTTACAGTTTTCACAATTCATAGGGAAGTGTATGTTGAAATGAGATTTAAGCATTGTCAAAATTGATGGGGAATATTAAATCCATTTTTTTTATGGTAGCTAAATGATTTAACAATATTTTTGGAAAGTGATAGTTTGATTTTCCATAAGTATATGATATCGCAAACAAGTAATAAAGTTATAAATACAATATCATTCCCACGAGTACTATGTACTTAATCTAGGATCAATTAATTTCAATTTTAACTGAATAGAAAATTTTATTTTTTATGAATTTATGCTAATAAACTAATTTACTAACTAATCTATCGAACTATTTATGATGGTTTTTATAAAATTATGTATGATGATTACGAAGGTTTCAAAATTTTCTTATTAATCAATTTTTATTGCAAATCAATATCAGTACATATGTAGCATTATTGTTGATCAATGTTCCATATCTAATCTAACTTCTTATAAAAAGAGGAACAAAGGACTACTGTTGATACAACAGTAAATTAATCCAATTTTACTGTGTATGATGTCATTTTTTTATTTTTCATTTTGTTTATGGTCAGAAAAATGTTCTTCCACACGTCATGTCATTAGCATTAAAAAAATAATAATAATTTTATTATATAAAACTGTCATGAGCAAAAAAAAATGAACTCCGCACAGTGCGGAGAGTAGGCAAACTCTTCACATAGTGCAAAGTAAAAGTAAAAATAAACTTCTTTGCACAGTGCGAAACTTTGGTCCTCACCATGACAAAACTCTTCGCAAAATGCAGAGAGAAACAAAAACTCTTCGCACAGTGCGGAAAGAATTGAACCATGTGCGAAGAGTTGGCAAACTCTTCGCACAGTGCAGAGTGTAAAAAAAAACTCTCAGCACAGTGCGAAGAAATGACAAACCAACTCTTTGCATATTACGGAGGCAAAAAAAACCTCTCATCGCTATGCGGAGAGTTGATTCGCATCATGGCAAAATTCTCAGCACAGTACAGAGAGAAAAAACTCTCCGCACAGTGCGTGGAGATTTAAATCATGTGCGGAGTAAAAAAAAGTGCGGACCTCTCCACACAGTGTAGAGAGTTGGCAAACTCTTCGCATAGTGCGGAGGTAAAAAGAAACTCTTCACACAGTGCGAAGAGATGACAAACCAACTCTCCGCACAATACGGAGTGAATAAAAAACTTTTCGCACAGTGGAGAGAGTTGTTTTCAAATTCCTTAATTACAAATCAAATTTTAAGATTGTAAATTTTTCGTACATACAACGAAACACAGTCGAAAAACATGGTTCAACATCAATTATGTCTTCTTTAAATTCCCATCACAGCTTAATTTTTGAGCATACAAATCATAATTACGGTATTGAAAATGAGCTTTCTCGTGATTCATACAATGAAACAATATGTGAGTTGTACAAAGAAAGAGATATTGATAGTACCACGACATTACTTTCACAAATGGAGGCTCTAAGGTACCACTCAAATTCAATATCTTACATTAGTTTGATAACAGCTCTTGGACATTAAAAGTGGATACAATTTTCAATAAAATTATACTTTCGGGTTGTAGGCTAGGAATTAAAATGTTCAATACATTACTCAAAAGTTGTTTGAAAAAAGACCTTTTGGAACTTGCAGATAAAGTTTCGGAAGTTTTTGTTTTTCTCTTCACATTGTACAGAGAGTTAGTCTGTCATTTCTTCGCATTGTGTGGAGTCTTTTTTCTCATGTGCGAAGATTTTTTTTATTATATGGAGTTTATATATACTAAAATTATTTTTTTTTTTTAATGTTGTTGGCATGATGTGTGTGTAGAAGAATATTTGTCAATCACCCTAAACAAAATTCTTCACAAAATGAAAAAAAAAATTATAAATCCTTTTATTATGTTAATAAAATTACAATAAAATTTTTTTTTACAAATAATATAAAAAAATTATTTTTATCTTCAACAAAAAACACATTTAAAAATTCGCAATTTTATAACTACTTTTTTTTTTAATTCTCGAAAATACAATTATAAAAAAGGAAACAATATTGAATTACAATATTTAATGCTTAAAAAATTCAATATTAAATAAATTTTATACATTTATAACAAATTATAAATTTATATATGCAGTTTGCCGTATTTGCAGACAGCTTACTGTATATACAGCTTACCGTATATGCTGTTTACCGTATTTGCAGCTTAACATACATGCTGTCTACCGTACTTACAACTTACCGTATTTGCAGTCTACCGTATTTACAACTTACCATATTTGTAGCATACCGTATTTGCAAACAACTTGTTGTATTTGCACATTATCGTATTTGTAGCTTATCGTATATACAGCCTACCGTATTTGTAGCCTACCGTATTTGCAAATAACTTGCCGTATTTGCACCTTATCGTATTTGTAGCTTACCGTATATGCTGCATACCTTATTTGAAACTTACCGTATATGCTACATACCATATTTGCAGCTTACTATATTTTTATATACCGATTTTTACACTTACAAATACCAAAAATGCAGAACACCGTACATTCACTTGTCAAATTGAATTTCAAAAAATATTTCAGATTTTTATTTTTTCAACATAAGTATAAAATAAATATTAAATATATATGAAGCACAAAATATAAACGCATATGAATATGGTGCTCAATCTTCAATTTTCCAATATTAAATTACACAAAATTTAGAAATATAATCTTCATATTCAACTCAATCATATCAACACTATCAAAAAATACAAGCAAAATAATTGTATAATCTCGTATATTTCTTACTCAAGTATGAAATATAAAGTATATTTTTTCTATATGACACAATACTGTTATGCAATTGTAAAAATAATTTGCAATTATTTTCTTATATCATAGAAATATTTCTAAATATTGCTTAAGAAACTTTCCAAATAATTAAAATTCATACACTAATAAAAATACGATAAATGTAAAATTCGTACAACGCACGTGACAGTGACTAGTTATTTAAAAACATCTCTCAATGTCTAAATTTATTCCCAGTAAAAAAGCGAAAACAAGCAAAAAGTACCCTTCAACTTATCTAAAAGAAAAAGCTATATATTGCTCAAGTGCAGAAGCTCATAATTTGATTGGAACAGCCTTGAGAGGAATGGCCTTTTGAAGAGTTAGTCCAAATTTCTCACTCATGTCCACTTCTTCCGGTTTCAGTCCCTCTTCAAGTAACCATTCAAAGTTGCATATCAAAGTGGCTAGCATGAGGTGCACCATCCGATAGGCCAAAGGCAAACCCGGGCATAATCTCCTCCCCGCACCAAAAGGAATGAGCTCAAAATCTTGACCTTTGAAATCAGTTTTGCGATCCAAAAATCTTTCAGGCATAAAGGATTCTGGACTCGACCAAGTGTTTGAATCCCTGCCGCTTGCCCATACATTAACAAGAATTTGCGCATTTTTAGGGACCATGTAGCCATTGATCTCTGCATCGTCATCGGCTTTATGAGGTACTAGAAAGGGGATAGCAGGATGAAGCCTAAATGTTTCTTTCACCACAGCCTGTAAGTATGGGAGTCTTGAAATGTATGATTCTTGAATTAGATCATTCATTCCAATCACATCTCTAAACTCGTTTCTAGCTTTTAATATCTTATTTGGGTTGCGCAATAACTCTGCCATTGCCCATTCTACTGTACTTGCTGTTGTATCTACTCCGGCTACAAATAAATCCTACAAATATAGAGAAACTAACAAAAGTTAACTATTTGCTCATATAAGATGAAAAGATGATGATCAGCAAATAGAACATTTAAGGGTATATTCAATTTGGATTGTCAAAAATTTATGGACTTTTTCAAGTAAATGACTTTAATAGTGTTCAATGACTTTTGTTGATTTTTTACAAAATAAATGATAATGGGAATCAAGATATTGGCGGCTTTCCAACTAGCCATTGTACCTGAGATTGCGATAAGTCCTTTCATATAAAATTCAATTGAATTAAGGCATGCAACAATAAAATTATATTTCTCATGTTAATAAAATAAGTCATTTAAAAATTAATCTTTATTTATAGGGAAAATGTAGGAAATCATAAAAAGGAAGAGACTGGAAAATTTTATGTCTTTTTATTTACAAACTGATGAAAAGGAAAAGATCAAAAAATAAAATATATAAGAATATTGAAGAAATAAAGAAATATTACCAATGAAAAGATTTATTATTATTAATTTTTTTTTTGTGGGTGAAAGTTTTTCAAAATCTTGGGGTGAATGAGATTTTTTAATGAGTTTTTGTATTTGTAACTTCTGCTTAAAAATTAGAACATGAACAATTTTATAAAAGATATTGAAATTACCGATGAAAAGTTTATAAAATAAGATTGATGAAACAATAAATATTACCAATGAATTGTGTGTGTGTATGTGCGTGCGCGCGCGCGCGCGCGAAAGTCTTCTAAAATCTTGGGGGGTGAATGAGAGATTTTTTATCGAGTTTTTGTATTTGTACTTTCTACTTAAAATTTAGTACATGAACGATTTTATAAAAGGTATTGAAGTTTTAAGGCTTCTAGAACGTCTTGATTTTATACCCATGACTTTTAAATAAAAGTCTACACTAAATATCACAAAAGAAAATTATAAAATTAAATAGTCTTAATTAAATATACCTAAATGTTAAATCTTAAGAATATTTAGAAATATAAAATGAATATACCCCAAAATATCTTCTAATTTTCTAATTTCAATATATAAGAAAATATGAAACACGACATCTAAATTCAACACCATGTATCTTTGTAAACAACAAGAATTATGTTACAAGTACAGGTTTTTGCATAGAAATTTTTTCTTAGACACAAGTGTCGAAACATCATTCAAAGATGAAAAAAATATAAAATACAGACAGACTGAATTTTTCAAACGTGTATAGTTGGTGATAGTTGGCATTACTTTATTTCAAATGTTGCAAAATAAATTTATTTTTCGATAAAAAACTTATGCACGCACAATTTATGACAAATAGGTTACAATGAGGCTTGAACTTATTGATCTAACGCCTATGCAACCAGAAATGCTATAAATTAAAGAAATGTATCAGTATAATACTTACCAGCAGTAGATGTTTTATGTCATCTCGGCTTAATTCAGGCTCGGGATTTTGGTTGAGATCAAGGAGAGCTTGTAATAAATCATTTTTCATTGATGTACCTCTTGACTGCAACCGCTGATCTATTATACCATCAAATATTGCAAACAATTTTTCAAAATAAAACTTGGTCCTGCGTGAAATTCCTTGGGGATCAAAATATTTTAAAAGTGGAAAATAGTCTGCAATATTAGGACTCCCAGCACATTCCATCACACCCCGTACAACATCCTTAAGCTCTTGCGAAGAATCAGAGTTGAACTCAGCAAATTCAACTGAAAAAAGTGTTGCAGATATCAAATTAAGCGAGGTAATAAAAGCAGCTTCACCGATATTCACAGCTCGCCCATTAATACAGCACTGATTCACATAGTCCCCCAGTTTCAGCAATTTCTCCAGGCGAAGGTCCCAACTTGCGTCAAGCCTTGGGATTGAAAACATTTGTTCTTTACAAATTCTGCGAAGTTTACGCCATTGATTTTTCGCCGGCAACCACGCTATAGAAAGTTTGTTGTGTTCTTTGGCCATTAGTGCACCTGGGACACTTCTGCTTGAGAAGACTTGATCGTATTTTAGTAAAACATCTTTGGCTATTTCCGGTGACGAAACTACTACAGTATTAAGGCACCCTATTTTAAGATACATTAAGGGTCCATAGGTTTTGGAGAGTTTGGCCAATGACTGGTGGGGTTTTTTGCCTAGTTCTAGTATATTTCCGATGATCGGAAAAGCAAACGGACCCGGTGGGAGCTTGCCAGATTTCCGGGACCTTGAATTTAATGTATGGAAAATAAAGCATATCCATGAGATAGACGAAAGAAGAAGCAAAAATGTTAGGAAATCCATGACTGTGGTTGCTGCTTCTTTTTTTCCTTGTTGATTTCCCTATGGAGTTCTATAAATCATTCTAATTATAGGAGATGAAGTTCCAATTGATGAAATTATTCTGCTTGAATAGACCCTTTCAAGTGGCACGGTCCATAATATTATGAAGAATAAAATATCAAAATAGCCCGTGAATCTACAGTTTCTCATGCCAGACTACAAAGTTGTACCGATGTCAAATTCCCTAAAGCCGCAGATTTAAATTAGATTTTTAGTAGTTTTCAATGGAAGTTGATAAAATATATAATTGAAAAATTTTTAAATTCATAAAATATGTTGTTAAAATGAATTGTTAATTTTAACTTACATTAAGATCTAAATTTTAATCGGTACCAATCAGGGACTAAATTCGAAAATCTCTACGAAAACAATGTGGGCTTGCACGACCCTTTAAAAAAGTTCTATTTAAAAAGAATTATCTTCTGAAAAATTAAAATGTTAAAATGTGTTTAAAGCTTTTGACAAAAAAAAAATAATAATAATAATAAATAAAAAAATACTCATTTAATGTTGCATGCTTCAAACTTGAATTGGGTTGCAACGTATATTAAGCTAACAATTAGCCCATGTTAAGTCCTAAAATTTAAAATTCAGATTTTAATTTAAGTCAAAGTTATCAACTAATTTCAACCACACATTTTATGGGTCTCATAACTTTTTGACGACACATCTCATCAAATTTTATCAAAATTTACTAAATTCTGATTTTAATCTCCATCAAATAAGGACTAAGTAAAAATAAACAATTATTTTCAACTCAAAATTTACGAGACTCACAATTTTATTAACTTTTTAACTACACACATTAGTGGATTTAGGGTTGGATTAAAATTATTTTTAAGCTAGACTAATACATAAAAACAATTCCACCAGGAAAAATTCAATACTTTGACCCCTAAATCCTCAAGTGACTATACATTTCATTAATTTTTATCAAAATCTACTAAAAATCTATTTTTTAGCAAAATTATGGGCTTAAACCACTTTATTTAGAAATTCAAGTTGCTAGAAAGTTCTCTGTGTACATCATTTTAATATTATTTTCAACAGTAACAATGTATAGTATATAAGCATTTATTAAATTCTAACCATGGTTAATGAAATTTGTAAAAAATTTCAAAATGATCATTGAAGTAATTTTTATTGAAAATTTTATTCTCGGTAACTACAATTTCACTTAGTGTCAATTAAATAACTGTATTTTAATTTTTTTAAATTTATTAACTACACTTTAATTTAATTTCAATCAAATAATTATACTTATAAATAAATATTTTAAAGATACACCTTAAAATAATTATAATTGTAAGCAGCTATGTGTTGGTTAACTTAGGGCATCTCCAATGAATTATATGGATTGCAATCTATATGGTAGGCAAGTAGAAAGATTTGCAATTTATGTGGTATTGATGTTTAGCAAATATACATTCAGGTCTAAAATTGACCTCTAACGAGTGACAATTACAACTCAATGCTAATTGCTTACGTGTCCTTATCTAACCTAAACTAAAGTTAAATAAAATGGAGAGGAACAACATAAATAAATAAATCTAGAATGGAACAAAATCAGATCAATTGCAAGTAGACATGTCCAATAGAGCCTCTTAATCTAGATGAAGTCCTACACTATTTTTTTTGTCACATAATTAATTTTGCTATTTGTACATTTAAATGGTATATAAGCTGTCATAAAAAATAATAAATGAAAAAGTTGATTATGTTTTTAACTGACAAATTATAGAACGTTATGTGACATTATATAATTCTTTATGTAAATCTTAATGTACGTATAGCAAAATCTTTGAAACATTTTAACTTATATACTATCTAAATAGCTATCCATAAAATGCATTGGAGGTGCTCTCATTAATTGTAAAAATAGAAGACAAGGAGCGTTGGACGATTAAAAATGCCGTAACTATATTTTTTGAGAAAAAAGTGACAAAATTAACATTTGACACTTCTAAAACATTTTAGAAACGCGTGATCTGATATTTGTATTAAATTTTAGAATTATTTTAGAAAAAAAT